TCAGTCTTCAATCTTCTCTCAATTGTTTTAATCATCTAAAAAACATCCATCTTCATATTTCCATTCAAAAAATATCTCCCAGGTAAGGTCTCTCAATTTTGCAGACACTGAAAATTTAATTCATGTCTTCATTTCATCTCACCTGGACTGTTGTAACTCTCCCCTTTGTGGTCTGCCCTGATGCTCTTTAATCAAATTACAGCTTCTCCCCTACATCGCTGCCAGGGCTCTCACCGCAGCAAGGAAGTCAGACTGGATCATCCCTGTTCTAGCACAGCTCCACTGGCTCCCTGTTCAGAGGGTGGATTTAAAGAATAGCTCCTGGTCTTTAAGTCAGGTCAATTTTATCAGCCACAGGTCCCCAGAATCATGTACTATGGGTAACTGTCTTCTCCATTTGTGATCCTCACTTGAGAAATAACATCCCTGATCATCTTAGACTAGAAACTTCAACTGAATCCTTTAAAAGAGATCTTGCTCTACTCTAACAGCAAGCCTACAAATGTCCAGTACTAGAAACTGTCTGGTTTCCTGACTTTTTTCCTTGACTTCTATTTTGAGAAGCACATTGAAATTAACTGTAATGATTTGTGCTATATAAATTAAATGCATTATTATTAGATCTGGAAAATTAGCATGATTTTAAATGCTGTCTTTCCTTATACTTTGTGTACTAACCACACCTGTAGTTAGAATTATGACCTTTAAAGAACTATTACACAAACCTCAAAGGCAGAAATATTCCATAGTATCAATGTTATAACCATTCTCACTGAATGAGACACATATATAATCTACACTTAAGCATTTCATTACTTAAAAAAACCCTGCACCCATGTGATTCTGTATCACTGCCTTAATTATATCATTAATTGTCATGCTATCATATTAAATACATTTTCTGAAAAGAGCTCTCAAATCACATTGACTGCCGATGTTTAAAGGAAGCAAATTAGCTCCCTCACAAAGTGAAATGAAAATTAAACAATAGCTTTACAGAAAGATTCACTGTGAAAGTGATGGAGGGAAGAAGGGAGGTGTGCTCATATTATACAGCATAACAGATTTCATTTTCTCCATTTGCCATTTTAGATTCGCTCAACACTTGTCATCTCCTGTGCTCATCCTGTCAAACTGCTTTAGAATTTGCAGAAGATGTTTGTACAAGACTATGCAGGGAGTGTGACAAATTATACATTAAGGAGGAACAATAGAAACATTACACAGAACACAAAAAAAGATATGCAATAAAAATATATAGCAGGACAGCACAGGACTGTTTAAAAATACAGAGATACAGTATCTATGCTAGAACGTTATATTCAATCACTAAATGTTTGAAAGCAAAAAAAAAATATTTTCACATAATGAACAATCTGTCTTTTGGGAACAGCAGCTACAATAATACTGAACAAATTCTCTCTTATAATAACTCACTGTCATCATGTAAAAACCGATCTAGCAAACAAAGTAGGCCATGAGAAAAGTATACCATGCATAGATAGAACAAGTGATAGTGGTTCACAGATTATTCTAGATTTGTAACAAAGAATAATGTTGTTCATGTTGATTGTATCTGAATCTGTGAGATGCCTGGTTATTTTAATCCCTTTGCAGAGATAAGTGTTGAACAGCATTACCAAGAAAAACAGTCTATGGATACACATCCTGCCTCCCACAAAAGAATGAGAAGCAGTGAATCAGAGAGGCTAACGATGAATGATGGTTACCTCAGGAATGACTACGTAATGTTTTCACTGGGGGTGAAAGTTTGTGCAAAATCTTTGTAGAAAATGAGATCAGTGCAGTGTTTTTTAAAATGAAAGCTGCAAGAATAATTCAACCTTTCTGGGCTGCAGAGCAAGGAACAGTACCACTGAACATAACTATCAGGTAACTACCGAATGAGACTATAAAAAAAAACATTTTTGTTCACTTAAGTACAAGAATACAATTCTGGAATGCTTGGTGGGCAGTGTCACAAACTTTAAAACAGGATACAAAACTGCATGGTTTACCATGATTTGTATAAAACAATGTTAACTCATACTGATATTACAAGCACTTGAATAAGTGTAAGGGTATTCAGGAGAGTTTTTTTCTAATACATAGCTTTCATAACTGAAAGTAAATTTCAATATAAAGACATAAAAAGGATATTTTCAGTTAGAAACCTTATTTATTTGTCAATGAAAGTTAACTAACTCAAATTTAACAGTAAATTTTAAAGTTCAAAATAGACTAGTGAAAAAATGTACAGTCTTTTTTAAAATGTTAAGTTGATTCATAATTCCAAATCTAAAACATTTTATCACCTTTATGATATATATACTGTACATAAGAACATAAAAAAGGTTATAAACAAGAAAAAGTCATTAATTCCATCTGGCCCATTTGGTAATTAGTAGTTAATTGATTCAAGGATTCTTGAAAGAAGCTTTTTTTGGGAGAAAATATGTGCTTCGTGTTCTGTGTTTAAAATGCATTTCCACATACACTGAGTGGCCAGTTTATTAGGTACACCTGCCCTTTCCATGTAATAGACTGCTCAAGCAGTGACAGCATCATACAGTACGTGCAGACACAGGAAAGGTAAAGGTTTATTCCATGCTTAAAAGAAAAACGACACACTGTTTCAGCTGTGGGGTCTTCTGCAGGTGTCAAAGCTATTCTAAGTAGGTACCTACAGATTGTGTGTGTGTGTGTGTGTGTGTGTGTGTGTGTGTGTGTGTGATTCTGAGGGAAAATGGACAAGGCAAAGGATTTAATTGACTTTCAACCCGGCATGAGTGTATCAAGAACAGCAACCCTGCAGGGGTTATCACACATTACAGTGTCACGGGTGTATCAAGAATGGGCCACCACCCACATCCAGCCAACGGCGGTTCTGTGGCTGGAAACAGACCGTAGATGAAAGGGGTCAAGATGTTGAGTTTTTTCTGTACTATAGCCAAAAAGGACTTTATATGCTATCCCATTGATGGCTGTTACTTGTATTCTGGGGAATCTAAGTTTAAAATTTAAGATCAGCATAAACATATTTTTTTGACTCTTTGTATTGCCGCTAAAAGAGCTATCAGAAATGGGTGGGTAATACAGGCCCATATCACATGGAATGGGTTAATGAAGTGGTTGTACAAAGTGAAAATCAAAAGATTGCTAATAGTCTGGAAGGCAAAACAAATCAATTTAAACAGGTTTGGGGCCCACTTGAGACATATCTCAATGGCACCAAAGACAGAAAGTTGTAAATACTGAGAGTTTTGTAAGACACATGGAATGGAAGGAAATTAAAATTTTCAGCAAGGAAGGAAAAGAGATATATAAAGGAATCGAAAAGATGGGAAAGATGCATTGAAAATAAAAATGTTCTCCAAAGTTGGGCGGGTGGTGGAGGGAAAAAAAAAGAGGTCAACAGAGGCTGACACAATATGTGCAGAGTAACAGATGCACTACAGTCAGCCAACTAATCACTGAGTACAACGGTGGTGCCAAAGAGTCACAACAGAATGCACAAATCATCATACCTTGTCACAGATGGGTTTGGCAGCCGACAACCCAACTGAGCTCCACTCCTGTCAGTGAAAAACGAGAAGGTGTGGTTTGAGTGGGCTAAGGAGCACAAACACTGGGCACTGGAAGACTGGAAAAACATCACCCGATCTGATAAATCACAGTTTCTGCTGTTTCACACTGATGGGAGGACTAAGATAGGGGAAAACCCACAACGAGTCCAAGGATCCATCCAGCCGGGTGACAACAATGCAGGCTGGTAGTGGCAGTGTAATAATGTGGGTTGTGTTTTGTTGACATACTGTACATGGAATCCCTTGATACAAGCAGAGCAATGTTTGATAACCAAGGAGATCTGAGCATCATTATCAATCAGGTGCATCCCTTCACGGCAGCAGAGAATGGGTTTTATGAGTAGGATAAGGATTTATGCCACAAGTCCAGGAAAGACCTGGAATGGTTCCAGGAACATGACAGTGAATTCAGCTTATTGCAGAGGCCTCCCCAGTTATCAGATCTCAAACTAACCGAACATCTGTGGGATGAGATGGAACAAGCTATTCAGAGAAGAGATCAACCACCAGCTAATTTGCAACAGCTAAGGGACACATTGGAATTGACATGGACCAGCATCCCTGTGCCGCATGTTTGACCAACTCTATATTAGGTAGACGTACCTAATAAAGGTAGTTTATTTTCCACTTCTGCCTTCTGGTTCATGTTTCAGTGTTCATTCTGAACAAATCTGCTGATTCAACTTGGTCAATGCCTTGAGGATTTTGAATACTTGTAATTCTTGTAATCCCTGTGGCAGTTGATCTTATATGTAAGCGTTGAGAAAACATAAAGGTGTTGATAGAAAATTTTCCTACTCAAAAGTTTTTAATATGCAGACGTGTCAGTGCATGTTTTTGTGAAATGTCACCTTAATTACCAGATCAGTGGGCACCAGCTTGAACAGAAGGTAGCAGAAAGATATCAGAAGTATCTTTCTGAGCTCATCAACCAAGTACTCAGGTGCCTTTGCTGGTTTTTGGTGAGATTACATAATTATTTTTAGAGTAACTATAGGAATTCACGAAGCAGGAACCTTCTAACCGATATGTTCCAAGTTCATTCACCAAGTTAACAAAATGCAGTAGTTGCTTGGTCGAACTTAAAGCCCTCTTTGATCTCATGTTTTTTTCTCCCTATGTATGATGGTGATATGCCTGTATTTTTCTGCATACTGTAAATGGTGCACAACACTAGTTCTTGAGGATTGCAGTGTCTGCTGGTTGGTGTAACACCCCTGCTCTTAATGACCTAATTGAGCATTGAACATGTTTAAAAGCTGTTGGAAAGACCTAGAAAACCAGCTGGATTTTGGTCGTCATGTACTGGAGCTGTGCAGCTCAAGTTCAAAATATTAGAGGTGAATAAACTAGGCCCCAAAAAACTCCCTCATAAAAAAAATAATGTGCAGCAACCTGGTATCAACACCGATATAAGAATATAAAGATTTTATTTATGGGATTCCATGAGGTGGGACAAGAACTTGCAGCTATGTGTTTAAACATCACTAGAAAGGAAAAAAGCTGTGAAGCCACACAATGCAATTTGCCCAGACTTTCGCCTGCAGCGATGGTGAGCTGTGTGTGTGAGCAATCGTGGCAGCACCCCACTGGATCTATGTGGTTCTGTCCATTTCAGCTTGGCACTCCCCCAGCATTTGTTGCAGGTCAGTGGTCAGTGGATGGTCCACCCCATGGGTCACTTTCATGACTTCATAGGCCTACAGAGAAAGAACGACATCATGAATCATATACTCTTACACTCAGACAGGCAGCTCTGTTTGCATGAAAGGTGTGGAATGAGGTTGAGATAAATCATTGAGCCTGTAGCAATTTTTAGGTTGCAGTTCTGAGCAAAAAATAAGTATTCCCAGTTGTGGTTTAATAAAAACTATTTCAGCACACAGTAAATTGTGAAAGATGTACAATAGCTAACTATTAATTTTAAGACAAACTATCTACTTTGGTCATATTACTTTTACTATGATATTAAAGTGTCCCACTTCTACAGTTCTCTGGTGTTAAATCAAGATATGGAAATCGGCAAATAATGAACAGAATTGCAACAAATTCTCAAAGTTCTTATCAGGAAATTGGCAAAATAATTTACTGTATGTAGCAGGAACACAAAAATGTTACTCAACAGTCATGACATAGGTAATATCATGCTGGTCAACTTTTGTCATCAACTGAATTGTCCAGCTGGAGATATGCTTTAAGAGAACAGGCTTGTAGCACAAATAGCCACCATTCTAAGCAAAAAACATTTAGCACATCTGTCACACAGGCTCTGCACCAGGTTGCAGATGCTGTCTTGTGGGATTCTGTCCCACTCCCCTTCTAGACTTGGATGAGATCGGCCAGCTCACTGGTCTCTGTGGTCTACATGTCACACAAATGATCAGCGGAGCTCAAGTCTGGCAGTGGGGCTTCCAGAGCATAACTGTTACATTCACATCTCACAAGAAAGCCATTTTCACATGAGTAGCACAAAGACGTACAGCATGTTGTTACATCAGGATAAGCCTGCAGGAGGGGCAACAAGTGAGGTCCCAAGAGCTGATCAATGTACAACTTATTCAGTCAGAATGTCATCAATCACTATAAGTGGACTTCTGTAGTGACAAGACACTTTCACCAGACCAACACACTTGGAGCTCCCTGTTAATCAGCATATAGTTCTGCGCACCTGTGCTTCACTTGCTGATGTCCATCAGGGTGATGTACACAAAATCTCTTGTTAGAGAGGACTTGACTGCCCTGTTGGCACACCCCACTGTTTTTCCAATATAAAAATGACACTAAGGCATTGTTCTCTTGATACATGGGGATACATGGCCGTATTGCTTCCTTTCCATGTTATTTCTGGATGTTTGCCAGATCTGACATTCAACTAAAAGTTAAATCACCTCATCACCTCTCTCAACCAGCTCTCTCACTAATGGGGCGATATACAGCTTATGCAACAGTTAAAGTCACTCCACTTATCAGTTATCAATCATCAATCTATTGAAAAGATGCCAATTCTTGGCATAATTTTAAAACTACGGGCATTTTTGTAATATCCCAAATCTGTATATTTCAGTTTTCTACAAAAATAGCAAAATTTGTAATGTTCTCCTCTGCACATTTAGAGTATCAGTAAAAATATTTCAAATAATTTTAGTAATAAAGTTTTAAAAAGTTCCTTATTCCAGCAACTTAAAAGATATGCAAACCAATCCATGATTCACAACGTACAGTATAAGATACAGTAACAACAACTACTCTTTTATGTGAATTTATCTAAAAAATGGAATTCAATAAGAATTAGTTCTTATTTTATTGTCTTCATTCAAGCATAAGAAAGCATCTATCTTATTTCAATGCTAGTGGCTAATTGAGCCAAGGATGTTCTCCAGCTGTTTATTGAAAGAAGCTGGAATATCAGTAACAACAAAATGGCTAAGTAGTAAAAAATGCCTCCTGTTCTTGGTTTTAAAAGCACTTCCAAATAATTTCCACTTGTGTCGTCTGTTTGTCAAACGCCTTTAAGGGTTTTAACTAGTTGAATCAGCTGCCTTGTGGTCTTTTCTGTTCAAGACTAAAAATACTAATCTATTATAGCCTGTCAGGGGAGGAAATTCCTTTAAATTCCTTGGAATTTACATAGATGCTCTTCACTGGACCGATTCCAATATTGTTTTGTAGTATGGTGACCACATTTGTACATTCTAAATGAGTTTGTGTATTGCACAACTTTGATATGATTTTCTTTTCAAATTCAAAAACTCAAATTCTTCAATTTGTATGATATCTCCTACCATTCTGTTTGCCTTTTTATTGTTGCTACATATTGTCTAGAAGTCATAAATGAGGTCTTCACTATCATACCTCATAAGCTGCTTTTGCAAGTTCAGTGTTTCCCATTTTACATTTGTAGTTTTTTTTGCTACCTACACATACTTGTACATATTAAATGTCATCAGCCAGATGTTTGCCTGTTCTTGGATTCTACCTAAATCTTTTGAATTCTCTTGCAGCTCTACGAGTGATTGCTAATGCCCCTAGTTTGCCATCATCTGCAAACCTGACATGTTTTCTTAATATATAGAAATCTGTATGATTGATATGAATCCCACAGAACAGTGGTACTAATACAATTCCTTGTGGTTTTCAAATAATTAAGTAAACCAAAATTGAGCTTTAACTGCCACTAGAGGCTAATAATAAAGGCCTCTCTTACTGTAAATAGACACACTGGGCGATGATTCATTTAGAAATAGGGTTTAGAAAGAACTTGGGATTTAATGAATTAAACATGTAGGTATATAAATGGCCTCATGGTGTTTGGTGGTGGTTGGGAGTTAGGTAGCAGCCTGCAGCACTGCTGCTTTGTAGTGCTTTGTTTTATGGGGCACAAAATCTCTGTTCCATCCAGTATTTTCCATTGCATGTTTTTATGTGCTCAGAACCCTCATGTCTCTTAGTTAACGGTGGGGGTCTGTCACTCAATATCACTGTTTTTAAAGAGGTGACACAAATGATATTTACATTTGTATACAAACGTGTTTCCCAAGTAATATATCCCTGGAATAGCTGATACTATCAAATCAAAGCAAAACATTACAAGTATAAATACTTGTTTTGGTTGAAGATTTGGTACAAGTGGGCCAACTTGCTTCTGTGGTTACCCTTCTCCTGTGGGCGATTCTGGGCATTATATTGTGCTCTTACAGTATGCACCTTGCAGAGTACTTTCTCTTTGCAAAGTACAGCATAGTAAGTAATGCACCTTATTGAGCACCTGCTCTTCACAAAAGTACATTAAATCAAAAGGTATTCAAACCATGACAAAAAGGGGGGCCTTCACATGTCCCCAAATAATGCTTTCACTCAGGCAGATTCAGTAAATTCCAGTTACCACAGACCTGCTTCAGAGTATCAAGGGCCTCACAGAACCTCTCCATGTAATACTGAAGCTTGCCCAGTCTCATGAGTTGCACTCCCAATGCTGGATGGAATCCTTGGTAATACATCCTGCAAACCAAATAAGAGGAAGGTGAGTCAGCCACTCATAAACACTAAGGAATGAATGGGATCAGATGTAAATAACCATAAACTGCATACCGTACAGGTATGTATAATTCTCAAATAAGATCAGTACACATAAGCTCAGACATATCACAAACAGCAGTTATCACATACATAATACAGTTGCAGATAAAATGCAAACACAAACGGAAGCAGATGAAAACACATCTGTTTTTCTTAGTTTTGCGCATCACATAGTAGTGAATCACGGCGTCATACTGAAAGTCGACTCAAACCAAAATACATACTGTATGTCATACTGTACATTGGAGAAAAACTGACAATTTCATTATTTCTAGGGGTTATTATTTTAGTCAGACTTGACTGTACAATTCAACGCCATTTTTTTAAAAGCAGTACGGAAGCATTTCCTAATGGATCATCACTTTGTAAATGCTGACAAAATGAATGTCATTACACAATAGAAACACAGACACGTGATTTCTATATGTACAGTAAGTGTACTTGTCCTTGAGTTCTTCAGAAATCACATGCTTTTCTTTCACCCATTCTTTGTAGACAGAAGATTAGTATTGCAAATTAGGTACCACAATATTTCATACTTTAATAATTGCAATCAGTTTCCATTTTTTAAGACAGAGATGTTTTCACAACCTTTACTTGCATTTTTAATGTACTTCTGCGTATGTTTGGATTTTTGCACTCACTGGATAGCTTTTTGACTGGGTACAAAATGTGCTCCATGTTTACCATCTCCCCACTATTTATTTTTAAATAGTTCCCGCTAGTTTTCATTTTGTGTTTTTTATATCTATTATCCATTTCCGTTTAACTATGTCTGAAGATATCAAATTTAAGCAAATTTGTATGAATATTCATTGTACTGTTTAAAACTTTCTTTTGCAAGTAAACAATTAGGATACGCAGGAATGAAGTTAAGCAAAGATTATGGTAACTACAGTACCATTTAAAGGCAGAGGCATTGTAGCTTTAGGTAAAATTCCCAGCCTCATTACAATTTATAGTTGAAATTCAGCTAGAAAGAAATTAGATAAAAGTAATAGGAATGACCGATGAGGGCAAGTACACTTGTCAGCACTTTTTCTGTGTAGAACTGTGAGGGCAGTACTACATGTCAGCAGCATTTCAAAGCCTCTTACAATTCAAGCAGCACTTTAAAGCTCTATTCAAATAGACTCTTGCACTTGTATGAAATGGCTTTGTGTTGTGATGGGCTCTGCTGGGTGAGCGCTTCCATCATAACAATGCCTTGCTTATCCTAATGTTAAATGTGAAGTATAACATTCAGAATGTGAAATGTTTTAAATAACAAATGTGTAAAAGGTCCACAGTTGAGGATGTACGGAACCCATTAACTACACTGTTAATTGAGCATTTACTGCACTGTGTGCATAGAAATAACTTTTTCCTACAACCTGTGTTAGTCACTTTCCAAGCAAAAGCATTACAGTACGACAGTCAACCAAGTCAACTGATAAGAAACATTACCTCCCTCAAATCAGGTGTAACATTACTACACATGGAATGGCCTACAGGATTTTTTAAGGTTTTAGCGCAAGTCTTAGAACTTTAAAGCATTTTTAATTAAGTCTTTTACCAATAGCCTAGGTGCTTCGTGTGATTTTCTTTTTAAAATCATTTGGTAGCACGGAAAAATGTACTTAAATAAATACAATAAATAGTACAGCGAATACAAAGTGAATAAATAGTACAGTAAATACAAAGTGAAAATGGGCAATGTGAAGTGGCATAAATCAGCATATTCATACTTTGCTTTTCAGAGGATTTTTGTTTAATTTGGTTTAATTTCTTCCTCAACACGTCATACACTGTTAATGCTAATTTTCAATACTGTACAGCATGGAGGAGCTTGAGGACTGTGAAAAGGAAATCTGAAAATAACCTTTTCCCAAAATGAGCCACATTTAGGTAATCAGTGAAAGTAATATCCTTTAGTGTGACTCTGAGGATAACTTGTTTTCTTCATTGTTTACCCTTTAAAATGGATTTGCCCTCCAGTAACTTAAATACTGAATGTGTCCAAGAGGTCAGACCCCCAGGAGAGCTGAAACAAATATCTTATTATTAGGTAATAAAATAAAATCGAGGCCACATAAGATTCCTTCAAAGGTCACAATATTGTAGCACTTAGGCCAAAGTCCTAGGCCCGAGGTTGCACGACAGATGTTATAATGTTTTGATTACTTCAGCTTTGCAGTGAACTCTCAATTTTGACTTTTTGTGTCTTATATGAATACAATATTCCGTAAATACTGTATAATAAATACCTGCATTTGTATAACGCGTTTCATCCAAAAGGACTCTGCTACACGAAAGGGTACCAGATTAAATTCTTGGCATCCATTCTGCTCCAGTAGCCCTAGTACATGGCACATAAGGTAGAAAAGCAAGGAAATTACTTCACCTAATGAACTAAAGCCAGATTCCAGAGAGGCCAGATTGTACAGGCCCAAAGTGGATTTAAGAACTGACCAGGATAAACCTTGCTGAGCTTCTGAGATCTAACAAGATTAGGCTACCAGGTGTTACCAGCATTACGACTGACGGTCAAGATGAGGTTCTCCTTCTGGGGACAGTATTTGGATTTTGCCATACAAAACACCTCTCGATGAGAGGTCAAGACAACATTCTTCCAGCAGTCTTGTGGATCGTCCAAGCTCTCTTTGACGAACTTGAGATGGCTATTGATACATCCCCAATACAGCTCAGTCCAGGACCGAATGGGGACTGACATACTGTATGAGCCAGGGTTTAATGGATGGAAATACCACACAACTGCGTGTAGGATGACGGAATACGCTAGGAAGTAAAAAAAAAACACAGGGGTAAGGGAACAACAAAAAACAACTAACTACACTATTCTACAACCCAATTAAACGCTAAACCTGTCTCCCGAGAAAAGGGTGGCAAAACCAAAGAAAAGTCTTCCGCAAGCTATCTGTCTACTCTATATTAAACCAAGCTATAATGGAAAACTAAAAGAAAAGAAGCACGAGAGCCACAACAATCCCAGCCCCTCTTCTTCTTACACCTCTCTTCAGACACCCTCTCAGGATGTCCCATTTTGGCATTTAAAACTGGACCGTTCTCTTCAACCAGTCCAGAGAGAGACTTAATTTAGGAATACACCCACTTCCAAAAATGGATTCCCGCATGGGAGGGGATTAAAAAAACAGAATGTAACACTATGTTCTTTTATAGAGAGTAATGGTTTCTTCCAGCCATTCTCACATGAAAACCATTCGTCTTTTCATGATCAATGACTTTAGCCAAAGTGAGAGGCTGATCCTTAGATGTTACGCTGGGGAACTTTGTGGATGACTGTTTGGGTTGACCGTGGGGAGATCATGGATAGTCCTTGGTTAAGGATTTTAATTGGCAACACTTTGATTGGTACAAGAATCCAAACGCCAGCTTGCCAGTAACTTCGTGGCTGTTAAAATCATGTGTCCATCAAAAAATGAATGTAAGTTACATATAAACCGTAAGAATTAGCATAATTAAAAATGGCAGCTTTTTGAATTTTATTTATAGGGGATGTGGAGCTCCTGCCTGTTGCTGTGGCAACAGTATCAGGCCCAGGTCCTGGCAAGCACTGCTGGTATTTCATTAATAGAACCTCTGGGTTTTTCCTCTATTAATCTTTCAATACAGGATCATTAGACAGAACAAAGAGCTATGTTCATGACTTTTAATGGGAGCCTATTCTTAAAATGAACATTAAATTGTGATCATATCTGGTAACAATGACTTATTCTACTATCTTAATAATTGGGACATTACATTTATTGAACATAAAAAAATCCTTCTGGTGGCTCCAAGCGGAGAAAAAACACTTAATATATACCAATTTACTGAGATCCAAAACCAGAAGTCAGTTCCTAATTATTTTTCACTCACCAGGACTTCCTCTCATTATTTAAGAATTTTGCTGTTTCTGCACTCTTCATTTTTTTCTATTAAAAACACAACAGGAAAATAACACACAAAACCAGCTCACTAATCCACCATTCCTCTCAGTGATAATCCCCTCATATTCTACCTAAGGACTTGATCTGGAAAGAGGTACTCCCTGTTGACTGTTTTAGCAAAACAGAAAAAAAAACTTTAAGATGGAGGTCTCTTGTGAGGTCATCTGAGAACAATAGCATAACTAGACCTCAGGTTTTTGCATTTTTTAAATTAGGCAAAATGTCTATCCTAGCTAATTTAGAGTCCTATTAAAATGTGAGATTTTGCCTTGAGGATACATAACTGATAAAGGAATCTATTGAAGCTTCAGCAGACTTCTTTGATACAAACTCAGTTCTAGATAATGTCTTCACAACATTTGGCAATGCAAATGCAAACAATTTTAATTAGTGGCTCCTGAAACATCCAGAGGTACCAATATGAAAAAATGGAGCATTAGAGTCACAGATCAGCTATTCATGACAAGTGCCAAAGGGCAATGAAACTAAGTTTTAACTCAAAAACACATTTCTAATGTTTAAAAGAATAAAAGCATTGAAGATGACCTCTGTGAAGAAATTTAATGTAAGACTGAAAGTCCCTTTGTGTTCATAGCTTTTTGTTTTATAGCAGAGCCAGTTGTTTTGAGGTCTTAAAGGCAGGGTAACTTGATTTTTGTGCCAAATTTGTCTCACCTTCCCCTCCCTCTACTGGTCTTTTTGCAAAACAGGCAAGTGTACTCAAAACTAAAACCTGCATGCATATTTTCATATTCAATAACATGTTTCATTGCAGACGGTCAGGGCCTTACTCCCAGTGAATCATGCCATTGTTACTGGAACCATCCAGCTATTAGCTTCTCCCTGCTGTGTCACCTTTCAGATACATTCTTCCATTACTTTATCCAAAACACATTTGTGCTGTTGACAGATTAATGCACAGTTTGCTTGTGGTATACATTCTTGCCTTCTTATACAAGTCTGCAGGTCACA